GGCAGAACGCAGTAAAAAGCTGCAAACCAGCATTTCTGGACTTTTTTTGACCAAAAAAAATTATTTTTGTAAGAAAAATAAAACCACTAAAAAAAGTGGGAAAATGCTGCTAAACGCTAATGTAAAGACGCTAAAAAAACCCCTAAAAAACGCAAGTTTTTAACGTGACCAGGGGCGGACTGACAACTCATGGGGCCCCCGGGCAATAGGGGATCATGGGGCCCCTGTGTCCTTGCCCAAACTCAAAAAAGCCTATGAAAAAGGTACCAGGGGCATCTCATGGGTCCCCCTACTGACCCCGGGCCCTCGGGGAGTGCCCGAGTTTCCAAATGGTCAGTCCGCCCCTGGTCTGGTGACTTTTCCTCTCATGGTGCAGTGTTCGGTATCTAAGTGGTCCTGGTCAGTCCCCATCTCTGAGCTTGGTCACATGGCGGGGGGGGGGGGGGGGGGGGGGGGGGTGGTGATGCAGAGTTCTAAGCCCTGTGTAAGCTCTGAGCACAGCAATGGAGGACTTCCTCTCCCAGGTGAATGGAGCAGTGGAAGAGAGTCCCGTGCAGCTGGTGGGGTCGGGGTTAGAGGCTAGCATTTAAGTATGGCAATTGTTCATGGTGCCATTAAAGATTCATCTAAAAGCTGTCTGGCAGTCAATTTTCTGCTGATCTGAGGAACACTAGATCCTAAATCTGCCTTGTATCCTCGCCAAACTACTGTAGGCTAGTACAGCAAAGAGTCATGTGATGGGCACTGGGAGTCACTAAGAGCACCGGAGTGCTGGGATTACAGCTACACAGGAGAGTCTCTGGGAGTATAGGGGTGCTGGAAACACAAGAACACAGGAGAGTCTTTGAGATCCCCACAGGAATGCAGGAGAGTCTCTGGGAGCAAAAGGAGTGCTGGGATCATGGGAACACAGGAGAGTCTCTGGGATTCTAGGGGTGCTGGGAACACAAGAACATAGGAGAGTACTGGGGTGCTGGGATCACAGCTGAGTTTCTGGAAGCATTGGGTTAGGGGCGGACTGACCATTTGGAAACTCGGGGTCAGTGGGAGGCCCCATGAGATACCCCTGGTACCTTTTTCATAGGCTTTTTTGAGTTTGGGCAAGGACACAGGGGCCCCATGATCCCCTATTGCCCGAGGGCCCCATGAGTTGTCAGTCCGCCCCTGCATTGGGTCACAGGAATGCAGGAGAGCTTTAGGGAGAACTGGAGTGTTGGGATCATAGCAACACAGGAGAGTCTCTGGGAGCACTGGGATCAAGGGAACACAAAAGAATCTCTGGGAGCAAAAGGAGTGCTGGGATCATGGGAACACAGGAGAGTCTCTGGGAGCACTTGGATCGTGGGAACACAGGATTGTCTCTGGGAGCACTGGGATCATGGGAACACAGGAGAGTCTCTGGGAGCACTGGGATCATGGGAACACAGGAGAGTCTCTGGGAGCACTTGGATCGTGGGAACACAGGATTGTCTCTGGGAGCACTGGGATCATGGGAACACAGGAGAGTCTCTGGGAGCACTGGGATCATGGGAACACAGGAGAGTCTCTGGAAGCACTGGGATCATAGCAACACAGGATTGTCTCTAAGAGCACTGGGATCATGGAAACACAGGATTGTCTCTGGAAGCACTGGGATCATGGGAACACAGGATTGTCTGTGGGAGCACTGGGATCATGGGAACACAGGATTGTCTCTGGGAGCACTGGGATCATGGGAACACAGGAGAGTCTCTGGGAGCACTGGGATCATGGGAACACAGGATTGTCTCTGGAAGCACTGGGATCATGGGAACACAGGATTGTCTGTGGGAGCACTGGGATCATGGGAACACAGGATTGTCTCTGGGAGCACTGGGATCATGGGAACACAGGAGAGTCTCTGGGAGCACTGGGATCATAGCAACACAGGAGAGTCTCTGGGAGCACTGGGATCATAGCAACACAGGATTGTCTCTAAGAGCACTGGGATCATGGAAACACAGGATTGTCTCTGGAAGCACTGGGATCATGGGAACACAGGATTGTCTGTGGGAGCACTGGGATCATGGGAACACAGGATTGTCTCTGGGAGCACTGGGATCATGGGAACACAGGATTGTCTCTGGGAGCACTGGGATCATGGGAACACAGGAGAGTCTCTGGGAGCACTGGGATCTTGGGAAAACAAAAGAATCTCTGGGAGCAAAGGAGTTCTGGTATCATGGGAACACAGGAGAGTCTTTGGGAGCACTGGGTGCTGGAATCACAGCTGAGTCCCTGGAAGCACTGGCATCACATGAATGCAGGAGAGCCTCTGGGACGACTGAAGTGTTGGGATCAAAAGGAACACAGGGGGCTCTCTGGGAACACTGGGATCACAGGAACACAGGAGAGTCTTTGAGAGCAACAGGGGTTCTGTGATCATGGGAACACAAGAGAGTCTTTGGGAGCACTAGGGTGCTGGAATCACAGCTGAGTCTCTGGATGCACTGGGATCCGAGGAATGCAGGAGAGCCTCTGGGAGCACTGGAGTGCTGGGATTAAAGGAAAAACAGGAGGCCCTCAGGGAACACTGGGATCACAGGAACACAGGAATGTCTCTGGGGCCACTTGGGTGCTAAGCACACGAGAACACAGGGTACAATGGGGCAGAGGATATTAAGAGTCACAGAAGTTTACAGGACACACAGAGGATGCTAGGAACCTGGACAGCTAGAGATACAGCTGAGGATCATAGGAAACATAGAGACAATCTAGTAGACATCGGGAAGCACAGAGCTAGTAACAAGTTTGCTAGCCTTTTAGGACTGTGTATGGCTACAGGGTCAATGGCCTCTTATTGGCTTCATGCTAACAACCTGGTATAGAGGAGAGAACTGGCACTGGAATGAGGCAGATTTTTGAGGCCTGATATTGGATGAGAAGACCTAGCTCATCAGTCTGCAACCATCAGCTGCTGGCAAGGTGTGCTCAAAGGCTGCCTTTCGCCATACCACCAATCAATTATTTTAAGTCTACAATCAAGAGCTTCTATCTATTCTTGAGCTAAAATTCATACAGACTCTACTTGAAATTCTTATTGAAATAAACTTGTTTTGGACTTCAGTACTCCAGTATGGCACCCCACTCCTTGTCTCTCAACTTGGAGGCCCTTTGGCTTGGGAGAGCATTACCACAACCTACACACCACAAGCTGGTAACACAAACAGAAATGGGGACCTGGCACCACCCATCTGTCCTTCCGAGCTGGGAACTAGAAGACAGCTAACAGCACATGCTATAAGTAAACAGGTCATGTCTGTCTTCTGGGAGCATCTTGGGAACAGAGATTTGTCCATGAAGTATGTGACAGGACCAGAGAATTGAAGCAGGGACAGGTAGTCCTGCTACCAGAGTATATGTGAGAAAATGTATAGATCCTGAGTACCACCACTGTGTAGCGTACACTCACCGGCCACTTTACTAGGTACACCTGTTCAATTGCTTGGTAACACAAATTGCTAATCAGCCAATCACATGGCAGCAACTCAATGCATTTAGGCATGTAGACTTACTGAAGTTCAAACCAAGCATCAGAATGGGGAAAAAAGGGGATTTAAGTGACTTTGAACATGGCATGGTTGTTGGTGCCAGACAGGCTGGTCTGAGTATTTAAAAAACTGCTGGTCTACTGGGATTTCCACGCACAACCATCTCAGATAATGGTCCAAAAAAGAAAAATACCCAGTGAGTGGCAGTTGCATGGATGAAAATGCCTTGTTGATGTTGAGGTCAGAGGAGAATGGGCAGACTGGTTCCAAATGATAGAAAGGCAACAGTAACTCATGTCAATATGGACCAAAAACTCTTTGAGGAATGTTTCCAACACCTTGTTGAATCTATGCCATGAAGAATTAAGGCCGTTCTGAAGGCAAAGAGGGGTCCAACTTCATACTAGCAAGGTGTACCTAATAAAGTGGCTGGTGAGTGTACTGTATATGTGATATACTGTATATAAATTAGTAATTTTCTCCTAAATTCATCAAGAATCTATGATCAATGGCATTAATGTTTAATAAAATGTTAGGCACTGCCCTCACGAAAGGGGAAAAAATGTTACCTACAAGTATTTTTGACACATTTTTGTTCACTTATAGTTCACCATTAAATGTAATAAATTTACAGGTAATGAATTATGGGGTGGTAATGTAGCTCACATTATGTAGCAGGTATATTAGTCGGAGGTGGTTCCATAATGGTGTATTGCTGACTCGGTGGAAGATCTGAGCCTTAAGATGTGGGATACTTAGACATTAAACAAAGGAGCTCCCAGTTCTTTGTTCAACTATATCAAACGAGTTAATGTGTTTTATGTTCAAAGACTTCACATCAAGTGTTACATGACAAACAGGCCAAATGTAACTCTTCTAATCTCATCTTACAGGAGTTTTATCTCTGCATCTTCTCCTGTTGTCTCCATTTCTTATGGCTAACACCACAAGCAGTATCCAGGGAGCTTCCTTCTTCAAGTCATCCTGCAGCCAATCCCATGGTGTATCTTCTCCTTACATTATCATTGCAGAACCTATATCGCTCCTTCGTGCAGACAATTGTACCTTCAGCACACAATCACAACCACTGCTCTGGGCCTTATCTGATTCTGCCTTGTCCAAACAAGCTATGCTGAAGCCTTCACAGCAGTCATATCTGCTACATCAACCTCATCTGACAATACAAAGTAACACATGCATTAATCATCTCTGATTCACGTCAGTATGCTGAATTATAAAACGTGATTACAGTTTTTTTTTTTAAATATTAACATAAGGAGTCAGGTAAATGATTAGAGCAGTCAAAATGAAAATCAGCCCAGGTTCTAAGCAACCCCAGGGTTTCTCCAAAGATTTTTAGGGGTTCCTTGAGCTGTGGCTCATTGATGGTGCTTGTATAGTTCCAGGGCCAATGCCACTTGGAAGAGCCAGCAGCATAAAACCAGTGATCTTTTTAGCTGTCTGTAAGGGTGGGAACACCTGACCACCGCTGTTAGGGCATTCTTTCCATTGGTCACCACTGTAAGGAGCATTCTTACCACTGACCCCCAATGTAAGGAGCATTTTTCCCACTGACCCCCAATGTAAGGAGCATTCTTCCCACTGACCTCCAATGTAAGGGACATTCTTTCCACTGACCCCCAATGTAAGGAGCATTCTTCCCACTGACCACCAAAGTAAGGAGAATTCTTCCCATTGATCACCAATGTAAGGGGCATTCTTTCCACTGACCCCCAATGTAAGGGACATTCTTCCCACTGACGACCAATGTAAGGGGCATTCTTGCCACTGATCACCAATGTAAGGAGCATTCTTCTCATTGACCACCAATGTAAGGAGCATTCTTCCCACTGATCACCAATGTAAGGAGCATTCTTCCCACTGATCGCCAATGTAAGGAGCATTCTTCCCACTGACCTCCAATGTAAGGGACATTCTTCCCACTGACCACCAATGTAAGGGACATTCTTCCCACTGACCACCAATGTAAGGAGCATTCTTCCCACTGACCACCAATGTAAGGAGCATTCTTCCCACTGATCGCCAATGTAAGGAGCATTCTTCCACTGACCTCCAATGTAAGGGACATTCTTTCCACTGACCACCAATGTAAGGGGCATTCTTCTCATTGATCGCCAATGTAAGGAGCATTCTTCCCACCGACCACCAATGTAAGGAGCATTCTTCCCACTGATCCCCAATGTAAGGAGCATTCTTCCCACTGATCACCAATGTAAGGAGCATTCTTCTCATTGACCACCAATGTAAGGAGCATTCTTCCTACTGACAACCAATGTAATGAGCATTCTTCCCATTTGCCACCACTATCAGGAGCATACTTTGACAGTGGTGGTGGTAGGGGGGTTGTCAATGTAAATGAGCATACTCAGAAGAAAATGGTCAGACTGGTTCAGCTTGACAGGAACTCCTAAGCTGCTCCAATAACTTCCTTTTACAGCCGTGCTGTGCAGAAAGCCATCCCAATATATAGAACCTTCAAGAGGACAGATTATAGCAGCAGAATACCAGCTGGGTCCCTCCTGTCTACTAAGATCGGCCAAGAGCTGGAAAATGAAAGTACAGGGGGCACCAAATCACTAAATATGGACAACTGAACACCATAACTGACCTGACTCTAATCTCAAATGCAGCAGAAACATTTAGACAGAGCAGCGTTTCTCAAACAGGGTTCTGCTGAAGCTTTTCAGGGGCTCCTTGAGCAATGGCGGATTGATCTCCTTTCTGATCAACAATACAAGTGGCCATTGATGACCAATTTAAAGGGTCTGTACAGTTTTTTAAAAAAAATCTGTATTTGTTTTTTTGGACATTATCATTGTTAAAACCTATGCTTACTCAACCCCCCCCCCCCCCCCCGAACCAACCCCCCCCCAAAAAAAAAAAAAAAAAATGATTACAAGGAACATTATTTACAATTGATGAGTTTTCATGAGTGCCTGGTACAGCTCCATTGGCTCTATTACCTCCTCCACATTGGAAGATTACGGCAGCAGGGGTTGGGAGGAGGAGGAAGATTTCTCCTACAGGATGAGACAAGAGCAAAAGGGACAAATGGCATCGACAGAAAGTAATGTCCCTTGTGCTGATTTTTTTTTTTTTGGAGTAAATGTAGGCTTTATTATAATTGGTGATTATTACTGAACATCAGTTTAGCATATATAGCAGGGGTCTCCAAACTTTCTAAGCAAAGGGCCAGTTTGGGGCACTACTTCTTCCACTGACACCAATGATGTTGCACACTTCTGCCCAATAACACCAATGATGGAGCACAATTCCTCCCAATGACACCAATTATGGAGCACACTTCCATCCAATGACACCAATGATGGAGCACAATTTCTCCCAATGACACTAACGAATGGGCACAATTCCACCCAATGACACCAATGATGGAGCACAATTTCTCCCAATGATGCTAACGATGGGGCACAGTTCCTCCCAATGACACCAATAATGGAGCACAATTCCACCCAATGACACCAATAATGGGGCACAATTCCTCCCACTGACACCAACGATGCAGCATTGTTTACTTTCACTGATGCCGGGACAATTTCTACTCCCAATGGCCATAGTCCAGCCCCTCTAAAAGTTTGAAGGACAGTAAATTGGCCCTTTGTTTATAAAGTTTGGAGACCTCTGCAATATAACATGGATGGATTCTCCATGCTGGACTCTCAGAAGACCTGACTGGATTCAGCCACAGTTCTGCTGCCAATTTTTTGCAAAGCTCCTTAGATTTTTCATTTGAAGTACCTCAGGTGGGAGGGGACTGATAGGGCGACCCATGATGCGAATTTCAGCTGGTTGATCCGGAGCCTGGCCAAAACTTGTACAGTGTGCGGCCTGCTTTTGATTCTGTCCCCTTGGTAGGGACTTGGTAGAGGCCACGTCACGTGCCATGTGTGTCAGATAGTGATTTTATGTATGGCAGCAGTACTGGTTAAGAGATGCCCGTAGCGAAAGGAAAGAAAAGAAAATAGTGCAGGGCAGACATGACTAGGCTAAGAGGTGGTTAAAAAAGACAGGAAAGGGTTAACAAAAGGAAAAGGTGGGATTCAGGATATGGCCAAGTTACTTGAATGGTAACTGGGGGGCGTAGGGCGGGGTCTTCGACACCTTTTGGGTGTGGATGGGGGAGGGTTGTCAATCAGTGCAGGAGGAGACAGTGGAGAGTGAGCTTCCCTCCCGCCCTCCCTTGGGGTTGTGTGGGTGTTTTGTCACTCCCCGGGGTTTTTTGTTCGGGTTCCGGGGTCGGTTGTTGGTCTTTGGATGTGGCACTTATTTTGAAGCTAAAGCTAATGGTTGGGACCCTTCGGTGGCATGGTGTGCCCGGGGGGCATTCCAATTAACCGAGGTTTAACTGGAAGGTGGTGGTTCTGCACTGCGGATGGTATGTTTTGTCTCCAAGTCGGTGCGTTGCGGCTGGAGGCCTAGTTATAATATAGGTTCCGCAGGAGGATATTGGTTTTTATTTGGTGCCTTCGAAGACCAACAACTTCTCCTGTATGTTTCTGTTTTGAGGAACGTTTTGTGTATTGAAGTTGAAGTGTTAATAAAAGGCCGTATTGGTCATTTTACTCCAATCGGTGTTATGTTTTTCTTTAATGATAGATTAAAGGGGGGTATGTGAGGGAGTGAGATAGTGGTGTAGGGGGTCTTGACTACCCTATCTCTTGTGCACTAGCCATGGTTAGAGAAGGTCAGGTGTTGGGATATACGTCATTACCGTTGGCTATATGCAGGTATACAGGCCTGGTCACTCCACAGGCCCATTAGCAGTGTGTTATGGCTCTCATTCGGTCAGCCTGTGTTGTGGTTTTCTTTGAAGATATCTTTGTCTATCTGTAGTCAACTTGTCCCACAATAGAGGAATTAGCAGTGTGTCTTCTCACACAAGAGGACCTGTCACGCTCTCCGATCTCCCAGGTTCTTCTGTACATAAACTGTCCATGCACCCCTCCCTCCGCAACACATTTTATATAACGAGGGCGTATCATGTATTGTGTAATGGCACAGAACGATCTTAACGGGTAATTAGGAGGAGGATTGTTTCGCTCTCCTAAAGCGGAGTCATGTAGGTGGATTTTGCGTGGCAGCATCATTAGTCTTACAATCTACATTGCTGCCCCTGGAATAACAGCGGTCACTCTGTCGTCTTTTCCTCCGAAACCTGGAAAATATATAACCGACGTGGAAATTTTCCCCATTTAATAGCGTGCATTAACAGTTCATTCTTTTGGACATCGGGGGCTCCTTCTTTTCTACTATTCCAAGTCTACGTGTGGAGATGACTTCAAGGCCGTACCAGAAGGGCAGCAGCCCAAACCCTAAGAGGGTTTACCTCCAATATCCACCATTGGGTACAACTGCCTAGAGGGACTTCTCCCTACCCACCCAAGTAACCCCCCATCTATGACCAGTGACTGATCCAGGCAGTCCAAAATGTAGTTATCCCAACGCACCCATTCCTGCAGGTGGCTGTAAATGGTGTTTGGGTGCTGTAGTGGCCACAGGCTCAGAACTGCAACCAATCCAGAAAGAAAAATGTCATCAGCACACCAAGGAATCCACAAAAGGGTCTGAAGCTTTAATAAATGGTCACATAATATCAACAGTACAAGCCGCTGTTGATATTATGTGACCATTAAATAAAGCTTCGGACCCCACTATTTCCATATATATTTTAGATGTCTTGTAGTCATGCCATCTACCCCATTCCTTTCTAAATGTTCCCATTTTATCTTCATCTATATGATATAACTCCTCCATCGTATTTATATATTCAACCTTGTCTATCCAGTCCCTCAATGTTGGAGGCTCCTGTACCTGCCAGAATGTGGGAATAAGTCCCTTAGCCGCGCTAATTAGATGATATAATGCACTATTTTTATACTGTTTCACTGATATATCTGACGTATAAAATAGACGCAGCCACGGATCGTTCTGTATAGTGGTCCCCAGTATCTCCGGTATCAACTGGATTATATCTTGCCAAAACCCCCTGTATTTTTGGACAATCCCACCATATATGTGCCATTGTTTCCTTAACCACTTCAAGTCCGGACACTTCCCCCCCCTTCCTGTCCAGGCCAATTTTCAGCTTTCAGCGCTATCACACTTTGAATGACCTCATCATATCATGACTGGACTACTGCAACTCCCTCCTCACTGGCCTGCCTCCTCACAGGCTATCCCCGCATCAGTCGATCCTGAATACGGCTGCCAGACTCATTCACCTCACCAACCGCTCCGTTTCCTCCATCCCCCTCTGCCAATCCCTCCACTGGCTCCACCCCCCTCTGCCAATCCCTCCACTGGCTCCACCCCCCTCTGCCAATCCCTCCACTGGCTTCCGATTGCACAACGGATCAAATTCAAAATCCTAACACTGACATACAAAGCTGTCCACCACACTGCCCCGAACTACATCACCGACCTAATATCCAAGTACCGCCCAACACGCACACTCCGCTCCTCACAAGACCTCCTTCTCTCTAGTTCCCTGGTCTCCTCCTCCCATGCCCGCCTCCAGGATTTCTCCAGGGCGTCACCCATCCTCTGGAACTCCCTACCCCAACCCTTCAGATTATCACCTACTCTCCTCTCCTTTAGGCGCACCCTGAAAACCCATCTCTTCAGGGAAGCCTACCCCACCCCCTGCTAACTTGCCGACCTCCTCCACTCTTCCTACCACTCCATCCCCCACAGCTATCTCCTCCTGTGCCACCATCCCCTCCCTCCTAGATTGTAAGCTCCAAGAGCAGGGCCCTCGATCCCCTCATGTTTTGCATTGTATTGGTATTGTTCTGTCACATGTTCTGTCCCCCTTTGTAATGTACAGCGCTGAGCGAACTATTGGCGCTTTATAAATACTGTATAATAATAATAATACTTGCGCGGTCATACAACACACCATACCCATATGAATTTTTGAGCATTGTTTTGAGACAGATAAAACTTTATTTTGGTGGTATTTATTCACCGCTGGTATTTTTATTTTTTGTGCTACATAAAAAAAGGTCCAAAAATTTTGAAAAAAAGGGTTTTTCTTATAAAAATTTGCAAATAAATAATCTTGGCCAAAATTTATTCGGTTATCTTTTTAGTAAAAAAAAAAAAATCCAAATTAGTTTATAACCAAAAATTATAATTGAAAAA